TTGCTTCGTTTGCCCGCTTTTCACTTATCGATCTTTAGATCGGTAAGTATGTTGATAGGTATTTGTCTTTCTGTGTGTTTGTCTGTCTGTCTGTCTGTTAGATGCACGCGATATCTCACGAAGGCGTGGTTGAATCTGCTCCAAATTTTACATGTGCATTCATCATGGCTTGGACCAGAAGCCTATTGATTTTGGATGAATTATGTCTTATAATTAGCGAGTTAGTAATTAATTAGTGATGGGACTCAAGGTGTCACTATGGAGTAAGAGCGCTGTTATGGGGGATCCCCTAACTTTCGATCGATAAGTCTTCAGTCTCTGACCGATATTCTCGTTTACTACTGTAATTCGTTGCGTAAATAGGAAAACTAAACTAATTTTTTTTTGTGGACCAGCTGAATGTCTGAAGTTAGCTATATATGACCCACCGACAAAAAGTGTTGCACACCCCTATGTTAGAGTAAGCACATGAAGTAGGATTCAAAGTATATAATATTGTATAGTATGCTTACAGCCACTCAGACATACTACTCAAATTAACGTCTAAATTTATAATCGGATTTGTCATCGTAACTTGAAAGCAACAACGCTCGCTCAATGATTATTTTTGTCCCGACATCATTGACACAATTCTAACGCTTTTGTCTGAGTTGATTTACGACGGAAAGCTTCCGATCGATCTTCTATTTAAGTGTTTTTTGACACATAGGCATCCTGTTATATAAAGTTCACCACATCAATGTAAGCAACGGCAATTTATTATGGAAATGGTTAAGTGGTTTACCGAATTTTTGTGGTTAACGGCTTGTAAAAACTACTTTTTACGAAATGGTATACCGATTTTAGTTAAGTGTTTTTCGACAAATAAATACACTGTCGCATAAAATATAAAGTTTAACGCACGACATATTGGTTGAGGAATGGTTAAGCGGTTTACCGAATTTTTCTAGTCTGTATAAAATGACATTACATATATCGTAACCGCTTTTGCATCGATCCTCAAATTAAGTGTTTTTAACACATGAGCATCCTGTTATATAAAGTTCACCACATTAATGTAAGCCACGGCAATTTGGTATAGAAATGGTTAAGCGGTTTACCGATATTTTGTGATTACCGGTATAAAATTTACTTTGCTACATGTGGTTAACGTTTTTTCTGGTTTTATTACATAAACCATTCGATTGATTTTTTGGTCGAGTTTTTGACAAATATTTAACAAATTACCAAATTTTTGTGGTTAACTGATACGAAATTCCCTTCATACTACCGTTTCATCTCCCTGGTTAGTTACATTAAAGTAAATCGGAACGATTATTTACATTCGCTCATTTTCCATGTTTTAGTACCGAGTGTGATCTATTTAGTGTTATTTTACTTTCTGCGATTCAAATAATCATCGGTGCGTGACTTGGCAGAATAATCTATTCCTGACAATCCGTTGACGATGCTGTCATTTTCATTTTCATCCTATTAAACCAAGCTTTAGAACCAGTATTTGTTTATTTACATTCCCTCATTTTTCATGTGTTTGTTTGATTAAAAACGATAGCGGTCTCTCAGATGTGAAATGACAAACTCCAATTGTACGTGCCTTGATTGAACGAGGCCGCGTTAAGTAATAAAAAAAACAGCTCGGCCGAAAATAGGCAACTGACGCTCTGAACAAAGGCGTAACAAGGAATTTTTAAGAAGAGGTTTCAAGGGGGGAGGGGGGAAGATGGACGGGGTGCTGAAATTAACCCTTATGGTGCCACACAGTAAACTTTTAACAATTATCTATTGTAACTCATGGATAATGTCATATTTGAGTTACTGCCTTGTTGCCATATTTCGTCAAGTTTTATTAATGCCGTTACTGCTTTTTGGACAGTTATAAAATTAGCCAAGTCATACTTTAATAAGTGATAGCTGAGAGTAAATGATGAATAACTCGTATAAATTGCCTGTGACCGGTAAACATGGGTTTACTAGTGTCTGGTGAGTTTTTCAGAAAATTTCTATGCATAAATGGGTACGACCCTTGCTCAAAATAATTATTTTTTTTTTTTTGGGGGGGGGGGGGGAGGATTCAATTATTGTTAATTATTGTTAATTATTCTTGAGGTCAGTACATATGAAGTAGTTATATTTGCACTACCCTCAAGGACGTGCCCATGGGAGCGACCCTCAAACTCCTCCCCTTCATTTTTGATATATAAAAAAAATATTCAGTGCAAATGGATTCACCTACACGAAAGGTACACGGAAATGAGCTATTTAGTTGTGTACGCATAACCACATTTCATAATTCAGTCATATCTTTCTCTCATTTTAATGAAATTTTTTAATAAAAACGTCACTATGATAAATAGCTATAATAAAATCTTAAATTAATAATATCGCGTGTCATACCCGTGTCCTATCGCTTTATACTTCAACCCAGGTTGTGCGACCTTTAATACAGGAGAGCCAGATAGAAATAACTGGGTGAAACCACGGGCCGCACCTTTATTCAACATAGGCTTTCTAGTAGTTGCAGTCACAAAACTTTTGAATATTGATCTTATGAATTGTGTTGTTCGCTTCGCACATGCTCGTGGTTAGAGTAGTGCAACGTCATAGGCATAAGTAATAAATTGGACTCAAATACAGGCTTCGCGACTTAAAAGAAATGAAATTACTCGCGTGTACCAGAACAAAATTGAAAACTCGTTTTATGGGCTGCACACAGTGGTGGGATTCAGCCGGTTCGCATCGGTTCTATAGAACCGTCTCACGGAATTTTATGAGATCAGCGAACCGGTTAGCCTTAATTAAAAATAATCGTTTTTTGCTAAAAAAAAGATGAATTTTTGTAACAGAACCGGCTGAAAACTATGACTTTTGTGATGGAACCGGCTGACAAAAAATTTGAATCCCACTACTGCCCGCACACTATTCAAAATAGGCACGTCTCCTCGGGCCGCATAGATTTTCTTTGTGGGCCGCATTTGGCCCGCGGACCGCAGGTTGCACACCTTTGTGTAAAGTATGTATGAGGAATGGTTAAGCGATTTACCGATTTTTTCTAATTTTCTGTATAAAAATTGCATTATATATACCGTTACCGTTTTTGCGTCGATTCTTAAGTGTTTTTAACACATAAGCATCCTGTTATATAAAGTTCACCAAATTAATGTTGGCCACGGTAATATGGTAAAGAAATGGTTAAGCGGTTTACCGAATTTTGTGGTAACTGATGTAAAAATTATTTTACCCACATCGGTAACGCTCTTGCTCTATACTTCAAACAATTCGATTGATCTTTTAGTTAAGTGTTTTTTGACAAATAAGTACACTGTCGTATAAAATACAAAGTTTAACGCAGGACATTCTGGTTGAGAAATGGTTAAACGGTTGACCGAGTATTTGTGATTACCGTTATAAAATTTACTCTTCTACATATCGTAAATGTTTTGTCTGGTTTATATATATCATTCGATCGATCTTTTGGTTTTTGGCAAATATTGGACAAATTACCGAACTTTTATGGTTAACGGATACAAAAATACTCTTGCGTTCCCGTCCGAACTTTTATTTGAAGAGCAGGTGTTTCAATATACGTAATTATTTTTGGTTTCCCCGCCAAGATGACAGAGTTTGTATTCGAAAACAAATTACGCGTGTCTGTCTCGAGAAATAGCTTTTAACGCTTCAAACCAACCGAAATTCCGAGGTCCTTTCAAATAAAATTAGGATTGACATTCAATTTCACAATTTCCGTGTTAGTTTTTAAATTACATGGGCGACACGGACTAGCGGTAAATCAAACCATCGTTCAAATATACGGGCGAGACGGACTAGCGGTTAGACCGTTGGAATCAATCATTTTTGCATCCCCGGTATAATAAAAAAAATATAGAATTTTTCCACTAATTCCACAGCCCAGTTAGATAGTTCGACCTCAAATTTCCTCGATTTGATTCTATCATTCAAGAAATAATAGGTAGAGTTACCTTTAAATAAAATTAGGATTGACATTCAATTTTCCAATTTCCGTGTTAATTTTTAAAATATATGGGCGACACGGTGGTTGAAGCGCTGGATCGCCCGCTGGATCGCCCGTTTCCTTCCTCCAGGAATATTATATTGCTTTGTTTTTCATTTGTTTGTTTCGGCGTCATTTATTTGAGATGTCGATTTAATCTTGATCTCAAAAAGTCCCAGTGGTTTTATTATAGCCTCATTTGAAAATATGACGTCGATTTGATGACGCCTCGTTTACGAAATTTTCACGATGGAAAATTTGCACATTCATGGGCTTCTCACAAGAAGTCTTAGGTAGCAATAGCGGCAAAGTTGTGATTGACATTTTCAGTCGGTCGACAATCTAGAAATGGTGACCGTACATTTGAACCCATGTACATTTGAACCCATGCGTATATCCGCGGGTTCAATCTATATGCGGGTGCTAAAACCCATGGGTTAGGGTTAGTATGGGTTCAAATATCCGTGAAACAAAAAAAATTCCATAGGTGCAATAGCATACAGGTGCAATTGTCATGGGTTCAAATGTACGTGGGTTCAAATGTAATGGAACCCTAGAAATAGCTTTGAATCAACCAAAATTCCGATGTTTTTCGAAATAAAATTAACTTTGACTTTTAATTTTCCAATTTCCGTGTTTGTTTTTAGTAGACACGCTAGTTGGAGATGACTGTTTAGTAAATGTTTGAGTAATATTCCAAAATCATTGCGGTATCGCGTAGTTCATTTCAGAGTTTTTTTGTTTTTTCTTTATATGATTGTGTTCAATCAAGTAGAAGTTTAATATCAAGTTGTTTCGTTGCTATGGAACAATGTAACATGTCTTTTATTTATTACGGAAGTATGTGCAGCAATATGTCGCACAACCTGAATCCGCTACACACACACACACACACATACTATTTTCAGGTTGTGCGCCATCTTGGAGGAGGGGTGTCGGATCATCAGTAAAATGGGTTTTTCTGGAACGAGACAATGTCGCTCAATCTGTATGTGCTGTACGGTACTGCAAGGTAAAATATAGTAAGTACAGGAATTATTGTGATGTCACATGTACGGGTGGGCAAAATCGAATATTTTTTCCGAATCGAATAATTCGAATATTTTTAACGAATATATATATCGTATAACAACAACAACAATAACAAAACGATTCATAGGTCCCTGTCGTGTCCCATAAGTTTTCGATTTAGGGATGGGTGTTGGGAATGATATGAAAATTCAAATTTCCAGTGCCATCTGCATTTCTAACCTCAACCCTAACCGGACAATTACTAATTTTCCCCTATTGAGCGTTTGCGTGGGTGTTCTTTTTTTGGCGGGAGCTTTGTACAAAGGTTCCCTATTTTTGTAGTCGGCATGTAACTGGTTTTGCATTGCCTGCAGGATTTATTACACACTGGGTAAGTTATTGGGCGGGCATGTCTTGTAAATAACTTTAAACTGGTGAAGTCTACACAGTTAAGTATAACCACTGGGTTAGGCCATCGCGTCCGTAACATTTTAAGTTTAATTCAATTCAAATTCACTCAAAATTGGCGTTTAAAAACAATCTAAAAATACTTTAAATCAAGAAATCAATTCTACTTTAGATGCCTTTATCATCTCACCAATCTTTTCTTTACGTTTTAGATCTCCCGTTACAGAAATAGATATTTTATTTAATCCAGTATCTGCTTATGAAGCGGATCAAAACAATCCTCTCGTAAAACGTCGTCTGCTATTCTTCACTCCATTGTGACATCAAAGAGCAAAAATAATGGAAATAACTTGCACGCAAAATGCAACTGTGCGGACACAATGCAGACTTAGTGACGGTTATTGTGACTGTACAATAAAAAAGAAATATAAACAATCGAAAACTCAAGAAGGATATTGTTTCAACATAATAACTTTAACAGTAACACTATTATTATGTCTGCCAACGACAGTAAATAGCCTAAAAGGCAAAACATGTCCATCTCAATGCTCCTGCACTGTGGAAAGTATTGTATTTTGCAATAATAAAGGTTTGACATCTACTCCATTAGGATTTACCTCTGCAGTGGAGAAGCTTTACCTTTTTAACAATAACATCACGACTATTCCTCCAAGAAGTTTACAGCCATTTAAGGTAAGTTGGTGGGTTGTATGCCTTGTATTGGGGATGTTGATTGTTCAACTACTAAAGCCTCGCTCATCAATAATAACAGTACTCCGACAGTCAAAATGTTAGAGCTCAAAATGTTTAATCAGATATTAGAACCTTGAATGTCGCCGCTTGTTAACCAACTTTGGTTCCCTAGGCTTCCCTTCCCCGGTGAGTACAGTATTCAACATTATTTCTCTAAACTTTGCGTGTGTTATTTTTTACTGGATGGAAAAAATAAACTCGACTATGACTGTCCTACTCTAGGAACTTCTCAACTAGTAATAGATTTATTAAGCTTTATCACCAGCATATAAAACCAGCGGTCCACAAAGTGTTAATAAGAGTCTTTGGAGGCCTCGGTTCATGAGAGTTTTGGGAACCGCTGTAAGAATCATTGAAGCGTGGATAGGCAGAATAATATTGTACTAAAGGTCACGTGCCGATGCTGCCATTTTTACTCGAATCATCCCTGCGTGGGGGGTGGAGACGAAATCGTACTTCACAAATCTATTCATAATTTCATACCAGATGCGCTCTTTTATTAAAATTTATGTAAAATGGAATATTGATATTTAGTAGGACTAAATGAAATGAATTTTCTAAATCATTCTTACCATAGAAGAAAGTCGATGCATCTGGATTTAAGTCCATGCATCTGGAAAGGTTCCATTACATTTGAACCCACGTACATTTGAACCTATGACAATTGCACCTGTATGCTATTCCACCTATGGAATTTTTTTTTGTTTCACGGATAGTTAAACCCATACTAACCCTAACACATGGGTTTTAGCACCCGCATATAGATTGAACCCGTAGATATACGCATGGGTTCAAATGTACGTGGGTTCAAATGTACGGTCACCATCTGGAAATATTGACTGGGTAACCGTTTGTCGTATCAGACTGTACTACAAAATACCGTGGTACATCATGTGTTTAAGCCGTTTCACCGGCTATGGCTCCCACCTACATTAAGAAAGGGGTTAACATGGGGTTATTAGGTCTCCCTAATATGGTGATGTATGGATGTGTATTTCGGAACACATTAATCCGTTAAATTCGTCGGTAACGACTAAATATGACATCATCATTCACGTCATGCTGTGGTGTCATCATTTACATCATTACGACCGTGCATAAAATTGTGATTATTTTCATTTAGAATTTGAAAATTCTTGACATATCTGGGAATCGAATCTCAAATTTCGCGTTATGGAAGGGAATTTTCAATCGACTAACACAACTGGAAAACATCATGCTACAGGATAACCAGATAACAAAGATAACGACTGATCTGTTCAGAGGTAAAAATTAATGGAAGTTCACAAGTTAGATTATTTTATTGTCCTACCAGTAATTGTTTGAACACCTCATCTTCCATCCGCTGAAATTGCAAGCACTAAAAATGGAGGCAATAGAGCATATTTATGCATTTGGGGTTGATAGTTCTGGCAATATGCCACAAAAAGTACAGTGCAAAACAGCGGAGGCGAGGTGGCTGAGTGGTATAAGTATTGGACTAAGTAACTTGGTAATGCGAAAGCAGAAAAGACCCTATAGAGCAGTGTTCTTCAACCTTTTTTATCGAAGTATACCTTTTACAGTTTTTCAAGAACTTTGTATACCTTACAAATACCAATGTTTATTTAAGGCTTAAATAAACAATAAATTTTAAGCACATATTGTACTGCAATATCATCATGCAATCTAATAGGCTAGTGACCGCAAGTTATAAATTTGACTGACTGCCTTAGAGTCGACGGGATTAATGTTGGACGTAAATCAAACAAAGTGCATGGCATCCGAAATCACCAACCCAGACACATGCCAGTATTATCTATATAATTTGTGATGTAACAACGTGCTCACGTCGGTTCTTAGCGTTAATAACATTTTACATTTCATGTGCGCCGCGTTTGCATTGTTGTATCCAATTGAATATTTTATAGGCTGTACACCTTTCGTATACCCTTTATCAGTTGTATGCCCAACTTATGGTCTGGTATACACTTATATATATATATACCGTATACTCGGTTGAAGAGCACTGCTTTAGAGTTTAGACCCGCAAGACTTTGGCAATTATGTATTTCAGAATCCGCATTTGAAAATCCTTGGCTACGTCCCTGGTGTCACACTACTTGTTTGAAGCCATGATGATCGTACTTCCAAAATCGGTAACGCTTTACATGTGACTCTGGAGATGGGGGTTGAGGTTCGGACCACGGTGACCGTACATTTGAACCCATGTACATTTGAACCCATGCGTATATCCACGGGTTCAATCTATATGCGGGTGCTAAAACCTATGGGTTAGGATTAGTATGGGTTTAAATATCCGTGAAACAAAAAAAATTCAATAGCATACAGGTGCAATTGTCATGGGTTCAAATGTACGTGGGTTCAAATGTAATGGAACCTCGGACCACTCACCCCTCATTTTATAAATTTTCCTCTCTCTTGAAAATTATTGGCTACGCCCCTGATGTCACTGGTTTCTCGTATAAAACCTTGATTAAAAAAAGGCGCGAAAACGTGTAAATAATGTGCCAACATTTTGTCAACAAGTACAACTTACATGACATAACTAATTTACACGTAAATTTATATATTTTGTGTTGATGTTTATGGCAATATTCATCATACGTCCGGTTTACTCGAGACGGTCCCAATTCTCACAAGCTCAACAATCCGGTAGACTTAAATGTCTCGGTCATGTTTGTTATACTGCTGTTAAATTATCTAGAATAACGAAAAAGAAAGTAGACGTTTTTTAATTATTTCAATATTACTAAACCTAGGAATTGAATCAAGGTGTGTCCGATCCACACCTTCCCGTTTTATTGGACACGTTTAGTGGCCATAACGATCGTTTCAAAATTTTGTTGTTATTGTTATTTGTCTCCGTCTCCATTTTTAAAAAATTGCGTTTCTTTCCGAATACTGGACCAATTGCTTTGAAATTTTCAGTGGTTAAAGATAAAATTTTTCTCCAGAAGGCTATTACTTTTTTTTTCGCTATGACGTCATCAAAATTATTGCCATTGGGTGGCGCTACGTGTCCATATATTTGAGCATAGCTCTCTTGTGTTTTATATATATGTCAAACGTAGCATTATTTCGAGAAAAGACGTTGCAAACCACGGGTTTAGTGGGCGATCTGGCTGAGAGGAGACTTATAGGTAAGTCCAGAACCTCTCCCCGTTGATTCGTAAATTCCTGACTATACCCCTATGGCCACCGGCTTCTTGTTTAAAACACTGATAGCAATAAAAGGCGCGAAAAACGTGTAAATAATGTACCAACATTTTGTCAACAAGTACTTTGGTGATTCCCCGTTCAGCTCCCAAAGCGACGATGAGTCGTTCGTGTTCACACGGTAATTTTGCTTACGAATTTAATGTCAACACTAGGCGCACTTACTTTGGGGAATTAGGATGTTAAAATTGCTGTTAATTGAAACTGAGCACACAAGATAAATGTGAATATTACTCGAAAAAAAAGTATGAAATGGCGCGAAATTCTGATTCGTTGTCACTTCTGAGACCACGTGGTAAGGTCATACTTTGGCGCTCCCGTAGTATGTGAACCAAGATGGCGGACACCGGAACGTAGTGTGTGTATCAGGTTAGGGTTAGGCCATAAGTTTATTCCATTTTTCATTATTTAGTTTTATTACGAGTTCGGGGATTAGTCAAGTGACTCCCGTAGTATTTGTTCCTGAAATTGTGACCCTAACTTGCTACACATACTACGTTACGATGTCCGTCATCTTGGTTCTAATACCACATGAGTACTTTATTTATACACTTACTAACGTAGTGGTTCCAAACTGGAGCCCGCGGACCCCTCAGAGATAGCTAATTTAAATTTTGTCCCAAGGGGTCTATACTATTTTTTTTATTATTGTATTTTCGGCTTGAAAATTGTGGGTCAGAGAAGCATAAGGGGTCGCTCGTAGGTACATAAAGTTTGAGGACCAAAGAACTAAAGGAATGAACCATTGATATATTTTCAAACGCGAAGTCGAATTTCAGTGGGTGGTCCTTTGGTTTTCAACTTTAATATAGGGGGGTGTTACCCCCAAAAAACACTCCAGATGCTCAAGAAACCCATGTACGATACCAGCAGAGCTGTGAGAAGAATTATACAAACTATAAATATATAAAAAAATTAACCTGATTTCAGAATCAACACATCACATAGCGCTACAATGATTTGGAGTTCGTATAGTTCAATATTTGCCTATTTACATGTGAATGAATAGAGCACTTTCTAAAAGAAAATGAAAGAAAAATTAACTAAAACTATCTTATTTCTCAGAGACAAAAGACATGTCTCAGTGTTCACGAGACCAACCTATAATAATAAATGAAGCCATATTGCAATTTTCACTTGAACCATCTTTTTTTTGTGTTTTACATATTCATATGACCCAAAAAATTCACTCAAATTATTCTTTTTTTTACACAGGTCTCAATAATTTGGCAAGGATTTACCTTCAAAACAACGAGATATCGTACATCGAACCAGGAGCATTCAGTAACCTCTCAAATCTTGTCGAATTAAAGTTACGAAAAAACAAGCTAATGACGATACCAAGATTCGAATATTCTCCGAATCTTCTTCTATTAGATCTTGGATACAATCGGTTCCGGCAGATACCAGACATGACGCTTTCAACGGTGAACGTCGAACAGCTTTTCGTAAGTTTATTTCATTAAACTGTGTTCGGAGGAGGGGGGGTGCATTTTTGCCCAGAAATAGGAATAGCTACTATTAAAACAGGCGGTGTTGCGTAGAAGTCACCGAGTCGGAGTTAAGTTTCAGTTAATGTCTCGGTACTCCCGTAGTATGTGAACCAAGATGGCAGAAACCGGAACGTAGTATGTGTACCAGATTAGGCCATAATTTTATTACAATTTTCTTTATTTTAGTTCTATTACGAGTTCGGGGACTAGCCAAGTGGCTCCTGTAGTATTTGTGCCTGAAATTATTACCTAGCCCTAACCTGGTACACATACTAAGTTCCTGTGTCCGCCATCTTGGTTCACATACTACGGGAGTATCCGTGTCTCGAGATATACTAGTCGAAATTTTGGAAAATTACTTCATGTGTGTAGGATTAACTACCTTTTTTCACGATCGTATTACTTAAAAATGTTTTGGCATTTACTGGCTCGTAATGCACCTCCATAGTTTGGTATAGTTTCAGAGAGTCTTGATATTTCAGTGACCCTCTGTAACCTTGCTCATAGATATGTCTTATTCCATTATAGGCGCGTGACGTTGCTTTGAGCGAATTCTCTTAAAAATCGTATATTTGCGCCACAACTCATTCATACCCTATATGGCTTCAGCAGTTCTTGGCTTCAGAGGTCGACCACGACTTTGATCAAAATATGGTCATTTTTACTTCTGAGCGAACGCATGTATCCTTTTTCCGATATAAGCCTTCTTTATTCCTAGTTCAGTGCCCGTAAGTTTGCTGTGAGAAAACTTTTTTTAAACATTTACATTTTCTTTCAGTTGCAGAACAACCGACTAACCCAACTAAGGACTTCGATATTCGATGATACTAGCCATCTCAGCCATCTTGATATCAGCAGTAACAGACTGACAGCTGTACCCCAGTTTATTAAGTAAGTGCAAGGATTTTTGTTTGTGACGATTATGGACGCTTTTCACCGATATCGTTATCTATCAATAGATACGGAACTGCTTACCGGACACGTAGAGGACCTATGGATTGTTTTCTAATTAGGTTGTTGTTCTTGTTGGACACGTAGGGGACATAACGATCGTTTCAAAATTTTGTTGTTATTGTTATTATTATTTGTCTCCATCAACACGTTTTGAAGAAATCGCTTTTCTCTTTGAATACTGGACCAATTGCTTTGAAATTTCCAGTGGTTAAAGATAAAAATTTTCTCTAGAAGGCTATTACTTTTTGTTGTTGCTATGACGTCATCAAGATTATGTGACTCCACGTGTCCATATATTTGAGCATAGCTCAAGCATAGCTTTGTATTTTTCTTCGTATCGTTCCTAAAAAATCTCTTTTTTCTTCAACTACTGAAACAATTGCTTTGGAACTTTCAGTGGTCAAAATTTAATTTTTTTGCTAGAAGGCTATTACTTTCATTTATTTCAAATAGAAGAAACCCAGTTGCCTTCTATAAAGGAGGCCAATTCATAGACAAAGCCTGAAAGCTTCTGATTTAAAAAAAAAAAAAAAGTTTCTCACGTAATTATACCAGTTTTACACTTCATTGTACGTTGTAAAGGTGCGAAAATGTCTCATAAAAAATTACGACTACTAGAGCAAATTTCTTCAAGCACAATTAGTATTATTTCACTTTATATGTTTCACCATTTTGTTATTGGTTTGATCTCACTTTAATTAGCAAGTAATTTTAGCTTTGCAAAAACGAAACTCTCTTCAGGAAGAAATTATCCTAATTTAAATTAAACTCAATTTAAAATGAAAATCGTTTCCTTAATTTTGTTGCTTTGATAAAAGAAGTCTTCGTGTAAAACCAGATGCCGAACATTTTTTAAAAGGGCGATTGTGGATAATTATTTAGGGCGGTTTAATATGTTTTGAACGAATGGTTTAAAAGTCTATAATGAACTCGATTAAGAGCAATTCAAGAACGACTCCGGTTTTGGATGCATTTCGACTCCGACTCCGGGTACAAAATTATTGACTCTGACTACCACAAAAATGTTGAATTTCGAATATTGACCGTGTCGTCGGAGAAAATCTCCAGCGACCTCAACTCCGATCAATCACAAAATAACTCGGGATTGGAAAACCCTTCATTCCGGAAACTAAAAGTTTGACTCCGACCACTCACTTTTGACTTTGATTGCGATAATTTGAACGACTCCGGATTGGAAACAACTTCGTTCCGGATTCAAAAAGATTGACTCCGATCACCAAATTTTCGCTATCAATGTTAGATTCCAACTCCCGCAAATTGTACTGTTTTTGTTTTTAGCTTTGCAAAGACGAAACTCCTCTTCATTAATAAATAACCTAATTTAAATCAAACGCAATTTATAATGAAAACCGTTTTCTTAATTTTGTTGCTTTGATTAAAGAAGTCTTTGTGTAAAACCAGATGCCGAGCATTTTTTGAAAGGGCGATTGTGGATAAATATTTGGGGTGGTTTAATATGTTTTGAATAAACGTTTTAAAATACAGACTGTGGCGTGCAGGATGTTTCAAACCTTATTTGGGAGTGCTGATTGGTTGTTAAATTGCTTGGGACTAGATGAAAAGAAGTTTGAAATCAGAATCAGATTTTGTTTTTGCAAAAAATTCAAATGTCCTCAGCCCGGAGTCAACGACTTGATTTTTCCAACTACACAGTCAGGGTCGTACTCAAAGGGTGGGCAACCTCAACCCAATTTTCTCGGTAGCAGGAGTCGAACTTTTAAAATTCGGAGTCGATGTCGAAATTTTTCCAATCCGGAGATATTTTTTCAATTCATCCAAGTCGAGGTCGGCCAGACATCTTCAATTTATTTATTTGAAATAGAGGGAAACATTGCAATAATTTTTTTCAAATGGGATCTTAACTTCAAATTTTATAATATAATCGATATTCCATTTGTCGTTCGCGTTACACCCTTATTAATAACCCAAAAAATGCTTTTTAAATGAAAAGATTTTATAATAAACACTTCAAAGCAATTATAAGCGGATATGGGTAATTATCGATGGTAATTAAACCAATTAACTAATTTCTGTCTGTGAAGTCATAATTGCTTAGTGATGTAATAAAACAAAGTGTAAATGGTTGTAAAAACAAGGCAATAATTGTTCGTTTCCGAGCGCAGATTTGCTTTGAGGGCGCTGCGCAAGGTCGAACGCTTAATTTTCTATTCCTAATTGATATCATTTATTTCTATATACTTAAGTTAGCAATTTATGGCATGGACAGGTTGCTTCAACCAAAAACAATGCTTTGCATCAAAAATGCACAATCCGCCTTGAATTGAGTGTGATCTATATATATATATATGAGGTATACTCCGCTTTATTTTGTCATTTAGTTTTGATTTTATGAATGCAAAGTGCATGGGGCCAACTGTGTGCCCCTGGGACGTCATGGACTGTCGCTTATGAATCACTGCGTTAAAACATCTTACATTCTCTCATAGACAAATTTACTCACAGCAAGATAACATACGCGCACCTAAAAATAAAAAACTCCGCTTTTATTTTATGAATTGTGGGCCCGTTTGATATGTTTCTGTGTGCCCTTGACCGCTGGGGCTTCATAAACCTCCGGTAATGAACCAAAATGTTAAGACTTCTCACGTCTCCTCTTAGGGCGATTTACTCTTCCGCGTACGCACTAAGGAGACTCATCTCCGAGTGAAGTTTCGAGAGTTCACTAAAATGTCAAGAGTTGCTGAAACTATACGGCAGTAAACCAAACTCTCCTCCGATTGGCCAACGATATAAAACCGTAGCAACGTCCTAGCAACGATTACGCGCTTATCTGGAAATTTGCTCTCGCGACGTTTTTTGTTGGTCTTCATGTATCAGGTATTTTTTTTTGCATCTATTTCTGCCATAGCAGCTTCCAATGGTTCTAGGAAAATTTGCGGCAGGAAATCTCGCTGACTAGTGGACTATGCGTTATAATGGGTTAGTTTAATTGTGTGTTAGTTTAAATATGACAAATTATTTTACAGGTCTCTCGTTGGAATGCGGACCCTTAACATGTCTTTGAATACGATCAAGACGATTCCGCAAGATACGTTCACGAAGCTGACAAAATTAAAGGTTTTAGCCATGCGTGGCATGGCATTGAAGTCACTACCAGATGGCGTCATACCACCTCGCGTTATATTGAATGTATTGGATATCACCGACAACGACTGGGATTGTGGCTGTGACATTAAGTGGATGCCACAATATATAAGGTAATGTCACGCCATATACTGTTTTACAATAAAGACAATCAAGTTATCAAAATATAAAATAAACGGGAAAATATGACGTCATAGTATAAAATAACGTCATAATGTTACGAGTGACGCCATATTGCAGGTTAAAATATGAGAAAAGAGACCGAAAGTGATGCCATAATATGAAAATGGCGTCATATTCAAATTCAGGATGATAAAAGTTGATTCAAAATATTTTTTTCCAAATCAAGGATTGACGAACACAAAAAATGTGACACCACAGCACTAGAGGTGGCGTCAGAATACAGGTTATGGATTGTGACGTCATAATATTGAAGTGGCGTTAAACTGCGAATTGAACAAATTTGAGACGCCATATTATCAGGAGATAGTTCAACTTCAATTAAATAGCAATTGAAAAATACGTAAATCTCCCATTTTTCGTTGCCCTTATACGCCATCAAATGTACACATAAAGTCCGAGGCTAGATTAGATTAGGGTTCTAATAATCCGACACGCTGGGTAAATTAATTTAAATTAATGTAAAAATAAAACCAAACACAATATCATAAACTTGAAATTAAATTTGTGAAATTAGATTAAAATTTTTGAGGCAGTGGTTCGTAAACATTCCAAGTTTTTGTTTGGGAAACTTAGAGTCGACTGTCGATTGACTTGTCGACTTGCCATTCTGAACCGCTACTTCCACGATTAACTATAAACAATAGTGCCGATAACTTGTCTCGCATTCGGGGGGTTACATGAACCTATGCCCGATTCTGACCTGTTGGTAACCCCGGGTCAGGAGTTTATGAGTTTAGTGATGTATGTGAATGTCAACTTTGTGTTTTAACAATTGCGCCATTAATGTCAATTTTAACATATTTCAACTAATCATCGTAATGGATGTTATAAATATCCTGAGTATTCTGATTGTCCAGAGCCTTGTCAAGAGCAAACACTAAAATCTCTTCAATTTTTTCTACTACTCTATTCAACTCTCAAGCATGGCCATATTTGGCATTTCCGATAAATATCAACTAATTATCATATTGTTACAATTATAATCCCATTGTCTATAGCCAACCTCAAAGAGAGGAAAAATATTAACATTTATGGAGCATACTTCCAACCTATCAGCTCCAATAGGCCATATTTAGCATTTTTTAACTATTGTAACTAATTACCCCACACCCATCCCACGTATCACTACGCTTGCACTGCCTTGCTTTAAGCGGACACTAACATTTACATTCACATTTAGTCCACCACCCCTCCCACTCCAAAGCGGCCATAATCAGCAATTTCGACTGATTTCATTTAATTATTTTAATAAATGCTATAATTAAACCCCGCGTTTCCTGTGACGTATGGCATGCTTTCTTTCATGTAATTGTGGAATTTATATCGCAAATTCCTGAGTCGGACTGGAGTATTTTTGTGGTTTATGAAAGCGTTTTATTTTTTCTGTTTTTTTTTTTAAGTTTTTGGCATTTTCACGGGTTTTATGATAAGATTAATTAATCACGGGGAAAGTCGATAAAACAGCCCAATCATATACATAGTGAACCAAGGCAGCTTGTCCGGTTACCAGTGACGACTGTTAGGCTTCCTTCATGTAATTGGTGAATTTATATCGCAAATTTGTGATCCTGACTGAAATATTTTAAGGTTTAAGAATGTCGTTTCATTTGTTTATGAACTTATTGGAATTTAGGATTTCCAGGAGATAGGGTGATTCGCATAAAAACCAAAAAGACGACTTTATTTCGAGTGACATGAGAATAGCATTTTCATATTGATGTCGAGGAAGAGGATATATCATTAGACGGCCTAATTAATGTTATGGCGATCCACGGCCTTTCGTCGGGCTACCGGTCACTGTCAAGTACGGGATAAGTCAGCCATTTATTTCATCAAGGATTCTAACCTACAACCTTCCGAAAACATCTCTGATTATTAAAACTCCTTTCCTTCTTGATCACCTAATTCAACGTCACATGAAAGTACATAGATTCAAACAGGTCCTAGCTTGATTGTCTTAAGACATGTTAGAAGCATTCATGTGTAAATCTTCAATGTGTTTTTTTTTCTAGGATTTTTCGTCAAGCATTTGTGCGGCCAGAAAGTCTGAAATGTTCGTCGAGATCTCGACTAAGAAACAGAGTCATTGAAGAACTAACCGAAGACGATTTTGACTGCTCGAAGTATGAATTTTATAAATGTATATATTTTATAAACGGTATTAAGGTTGTAGACCAGGGGTGTGCAAACTGCGGCCCGCGGGCCAAATACGGCCCGCAAGAAGAAGTTGTGCGGCCCGTGGAGAAATAACAATTTCGAATGGTGAACCCGCAAAACGAGTATTTATTCTTTTTCGTCGCAAAGTCCATACCAGTCATATTAGCAAAACAAACTAGCAAAATTCTGTTGCAAAATACACGATTTATATTACAAAAACGTGTTTCTCACTGCATTCGTTTGAAGTCGATGTGACGAAAAATTTAAATAGCAGTTTCTTCAGAAGTTTATGCGTTTTAAATCTATTATTTCTGCAAGAACCCCTAATAATGCCGTAAGATCAATAGCAAATATAGGCAATTTTTGTGCTTGCAACTACCAGAAAGCCTAAATTAAATAAAGGTGCGGCCCGCGGCTTCACCCAGTCACTTGTATTTGGCCCGCCAATAAAAAAGGTTGCACACCCCTGTTGTAGACCATTGGTTTTCAAACGGTGGGACAAAAAGAATTCAGAGGTGAAGGGAAGGTGAGAGTAAAAAAAAGGCTTTTTCTGTTTTATACATAGCGATTTTTCGGCCCCGCAACACTCTTGAAAACCTACTTTTCCGATCCACGGCCCGCTGCCTGTCATGGCCTAACGTGGCAATTTGAAATTTTAGGATTTGAAAAATCCCTGCTACGCCCTGCCTGATGGAACTAAGCAAAAAAATGACCTTGAGTACTCGAAGTACAATTTTTAAATATTTCCAGATGAAGTGTCTTAAGACCGTCGCCTTGTCTAACTACGGCTTCCAATTGGGTGTTAAGTGTTTAAGATCTATGATTAGGGTCGGCATCAGGAGTCGTTTGAATGGATTGAAATCCAAATTCTGAAAAACAAAGACTGTGATTGCGTGTTGAAAGAAATTGTAACTCCGACTATGGCGTACATTTGGTGCTTATTAAAAGCTTACCGTTCAAAATTTTAGTTTTGTCAAACGTTTGCTTTGGTTATCTTCTTCTTGTTGTCATCCCGGCTATTGGCGGCCCTTCTGGGGTCGACTTGCCACGCTTCTCCAAATCAAACTATCCTGAACTAGCTTAATGTTCGTGTATAGCTGGTTGCCACTCCATTCTTTGATTACGTCATACCACTGTTATAGTAAATGTTTACATTTTTGACTCCTACTTCACAAACATGCCATTGGCTTACAATGGGTTTCCTGGTTAAAAGGTCAAAGTGCAAAGTTCGCTGGTAGATATGGATGAATGGTGGACTATCGTTGGGCTGTATATGTATTTCCCTTCAACAATCTTTGTCAGTTTATCATTCTCTCGCCGTGAAATTAAACCCTTTACACTTTATTTAACAGGACCAATACACTGGTACCACCACTGGGTTCTGTATCGCCACCCCCTGGAACACCGCCTACGACACCTAGTGTTACAAAAACACCATGGTCCGTTAACCCGTGCGATGTTTATCCTTGCTTTCATGGAGGATCGTGTTATTCTTCGAAGCGTTTGCCGAAATGTCGGTGAGTGTTGCATTTGAAATTTAAATCCATTTACTTTTTAAAATTGCTTACATCAGCACTTTTGATGGGCGATTCAGACATTCGCTTTTGGATAAGCTTTCGTGCAAGATGTGTACCAAAATGGCGCACAACCTGAACCCTAACCTGGTACACATACTATGTTCAGGTTGTGCGCCATCTTGGTACGAATACTTTGGGAGCACCCAAGATTTTGGAGGGATAAAATCACTATAATTGGTAGTGTTTCTCTGCTAAACGAGTGAAAACACTAAAACTGCCCCCAACGAATAGATAGAGTCCCAATAGCTTTCAAATAATGAAAGAAGCTGGTCTTTTCAATTTTGAAACTATTGCCCCGTTATGCAGTCTTCGACAACAGTAAATTGAGTGACATGAGCGCCGGAAAGATTATTTGTAAAATGTTTCAATAAAATATTTTCAAGTTCGAAGCAATTAAAACTCAAATTCTTACTTGAATAATAACGTAAATATATCATAATTCAACAACAGTAGTTATAATTTTCAGTCAATAATCAAGGGGGTTAATTTTTAAACTTGATTACGTAGATAAGTCCCTGGCGCCCACTTAAAAAATTGATGCATTTTCTTGTTTCCAGTTGCACGAAAAATTGGACCGGTTCACAATGCCAACAATCCCTTACAACACCGACTACGACGACTAGAACAACTACAGCATCATCGACTATGCCGACTACAACAACAAAACAAGCACACCGACCTTCGCTTTTAATTAACACAAATTCAGTCACTGAAAATTCAGTCGAAATAATACTCCCCATAACAGAAAAAGAACTACTCGTCTCCATTGCAGAAGTGGGGCAAAAACGGCCCCCAAAGGAGTTCAGCATAACCCCAAAAGCGCACCCATTTACAGTCAAGGGTCTTGAGCCAGGACGATTTTATAACATCTGTATTCATCTACCGCTAGTGGGCAGTGGAATGTCATCTAAAACTAAGGATACGTTATGCGGTTCCGTGAAAACCTCCGGTCGACGGATATACCAATCCTCAGTGTATACTGATATTACGGTAGTCCCAAGTCCCGGTCTGGCAAGAGACGAAACTACAGGAATACGCCAGCGTGATAAGACTGAACCTGCGATACCGGGAACAGGGGACAAATTCCGGAGTGGTCTAAATCCGGAGACGACTCCAACCGAAAGCACTGAGTTTCAAATTTTGTTGCCAGCTGTTGGAGCGGGAATCGGCGGTCTTGTAATAGTATCATTACTAATCTTATTCTGTTACTGCTACAGACAAAAACGACTGATAAAAATGAAACAGCAAAACAACGGAGACTACACACCAGGCTCTCCGTTAGAAACGACACAGTCTGATATGGAAATGTCTACCCAAGTACATCACCATGTACATAACCACTACACAGCCACAGGTATGGACCCAAACGGGATACAAAGTTCTCCAATAAAGCAAAATACCCCGAATACGAGACCAAGTAATGCACAAAGCAGTAACTTCATAAACAATTCGAATTCAAGAATCAGCATTCCAAATAAACCAGGGTCACTGAGTGGCGCTAGTGATTCGAGCGGAAGTGTACCCCGCTACGCAGATTCGTCACTTCAATACCCTCATTCGCCAAGTTTTCTTCCTCCATCACCCCCTTTACCGGTACAAAATATGAGCGGCATTCCGCCGCAAGTTGGCGGAAGAGCTGCTGATTATCAATACAGGAATAACCAAAACAACAGCAATAACTCCAGAGCTTCGTTTCCAAATAACCACTGTGGAGCGCCATTGAGGCGATACGAATACGAGCCAGAAATATTAGATGACATGCAACCGCTAGTAGGCGGTACAGGACAATATTACGGAGCAACTGAAGGACAAATTTATCCTGTCAATCAAAGACACGGAACCACATATATGGCCCCATCGGGTCCTGTAGCATTCCCACAAACGAACTCGAGGTCCGCTTTTCAGCCGATTCAGAGCCCCCGGAACACTGTACGAACCCCCACTTCCGAAACTGCGCCAATAATAACTCACGCCGGCACTGGTCGAGTAATTCCTTCGCAAGCTTGCTTTAATAGGAATATTATAAACGATGGTTTGCCGAGGTATCATGATGGAGTACAAGTAGTGTGATTATCCGGAAACTAAGTTTCCGCAAAAGTACGGGATCAAAGGTCATAGTGCAAAGTGCACTGATGGAGACGAACGAAAAGGGTACTGTTGTTGGGTTTGCGTTTTTACCGAGAATACTTATGCGCAAACCGATTTTGCCATGAAAACCACTTCATAGGCTTACTCTAAGCCAATGGTCGACAAACTGTGGGTTACAGAACATTTTCTAGTCATCCCCCGAGAAATTTCAATTATGGCAGTGATACACAAAGTTCTATGAATCCAAAGTTACATAAAGGGTTATTGTTTAGATATCAAACGATCGTACATTTTATTAACTTCAACTAAACAAGGCTATTTCGTGATTGAATTTAAAAATTTCCAACGAAATTATTGGGGTTGAAACCTTTTCCATTTTACTATTTGGGCTCACTTAAAATACTTTGCTCAAAATACCCCTACTCTAAGCATTCCCCAACAATTACCTTTTCGCGCAAATGGTTTTTTTCTCGCAAAAGTACCACACATGTTGACGCCACTATATTTCTTCTATTTACACAATTTTGCCGAATATTTTTTACTGTGCTTGTTTTTGTTTAAATTTGTCTAAAATTTAAATTCTTGGCAGTCGGAATTCCATACTTCAATGGCGGTGCTCGGAGTCAAAATTCAGCCTGAGGTCGGAGTCAAACTCCATGTCGGATCAGGGACTAGGCGGAAATTTTCGAGGGAGGGTTCTGAAATTTCTAATTGCTAAGTTAGACCGCGAGACCTAGCAAAGAGTTTTGAGAATTCAAAAATCATTTCAAGCTACGAAAAATTGCTATGTGTGATACATAAAAATAGGTGCTCCCGAAGTATGCGAACCAAGATGACGGACATCGGAATGTAATATGTGTACTAGGTTAGGGTTAGGCCATAATTTTAGGTATAAATACTACGGGAGGCTTTTGGCTAGTCTTCGAACTGATAATAGGACTAAAATAAGGAAAATTGGGAAAAAATTATCGCCTAACCCTAACCTGTTTCCCATGTTACGTTCCGATGTCCGCCATCTTGGTTCGTATACTTCGGGAGCACCGAAAAATGCTTATTTTTACATTTTGAAAGGGGTTTCCGACCCTCAAACCTCCGCTATCCTGTGTCAGACCAAAGTCGGGTTTGAATTTTCTCCAAGAATTCCATCGTGTTTACCTGGAGACATGGACGTAGCCAGAAAGTTTCGAAGGGAGGGGGGAGGGGGGATGTTCTGAAAATTTTATCTGCCAAGTTAGATTGAAACAGCTAGCGGGTACGATCGAACGCTAGAATACGTGTGTTTTTATTAGTCTTGGGGCCTAAAAAAGCATTTCGAGCTACGGAAAATTGCTATCTATGATTAGGGCTGGGCATTTCGAATCGAATATTCGAATCGAATAGTAAATTATTCGAATCGGTTCAGAGCTAAATTTCGAATCGCCCCCATCTTGTTTTCATCTTTCCGCTAATGGTCGAGATGAATTCCCCAATTTTTTTTTTCATTAGAGTCATATTTATTCAACGAAATTCTAACATATGACTATTTTCTGTAGTGAGTTATTGATAAAACGTGTTTGTTATTCTATGTGAACGCTCAGTAATCTATCTGAGTGATTTATTCTCTGTCTTCAGTAATTCATTTGTTGAGAGGACCAATTACTATAATAAAGTCGCTTACAATTATATATTTTCAAGTATCCGAGATTCGATTCGAAAAAATTATTCGATTCGATTCTGAAATCACAAGGTATTCGAAAATGCCCAGCCCTATCTATGATACAGAAAAATGATTTTATTTTTTTACATTTCAAAAAGGGGGGAGGGAGGGGGGGTCGACCCGCAAAACCACCCCCTGGCTACGCCACTGCCTGGAGATGTAGTTCACAATTCCACAGACTCCGTACGACTCCGTGTAATGGCGACCCATGGGTTTCCATTTCGTTCGGGTTGAATTCCAGATCAGGTTTGAGAATAGTTGACAAATATTTGAATCTTTTAGTAAAAGCTCCCCACCAAAACCCAAAATGAGAAAATAGGTGATTATCTGGTTAGGGTTTGAAATGCAGATTGTGTTGAAAATTCGAATCTTCAAGTCATTCCTAACCCTAACTCCAATTGGATGTTTACTAATTTGGTATTTAGAAACGTGGCGGAAATGTTGTTCTCAAATGTCACGTTTTTTTTTACAAATTATCAAATATCTGTTCCTATTTGATGGTAGGAACCGCAACTCAATTATTATTACTCCAACTGCAGAATGATATTATTTTTCTGAGAGTTTTTAAAGTTCCGTTTTCAATGCCTTTCTTTTATTTTACGCTTCAGTTATTTTATTTTTCTGTTTTACTCTGTTTTTTTTTATGTTCCATCTTTCTTGTAATGATATCGGTCGGCCCTTCTAAAGCATAACAGTTCCTATATATTATCCGCTGCTTATCTTGAGCATTGAACGTAGCGAAAGCGCAAGGTATCTCATAAAAGTACGCTTTATATTCCTAAATTGGATTAGTTGTTGATTGTACAGTGCTTTTTTTTATACTCGTGCCTACATTTGCGGTAAGACATGAAGTCGTAGCCTTTTCAACACCCTTTTGCTCTATTCTTGAACGATTTACTAAAAACCAGAGATTTTCTGGCTTGCTATCAATAATCCTTTCACCTAATGAACCAAACGGGATAGATGTCAATGCGCGCTTATATGCCTTGGATAACTTCGACAGCGAAGTACTTAAGATATTGTTATTAGGGCCGGGAATTTCAGGGAAAACACTTTAACCGTTAACCGGTTAACCATCTGAAATCGGTTAACCATTCCCAGCCCTAATTGTTATATATCAGTGGCCTCCATTATCTGATTTTGTTCGGAATAAAAGACACGAATGAGCGCCGTATTACGTCATTATACCAAAAAAATTGAGCTGGGTGCACTCTCGGCGCCATCCCCAAAATTTAAAATTGAACATCTCGATCGATTATTCCCTGCCCATCAGGATAAATATGTAAATCCTATCCAACGCACTCCCCCAAAAAGAATGCCTGTAAAATCATTTTTGCCTTTTTTCTTTTTAGTTTATTACTTTTTATTGCTATTTCAGATTTGCTTTTTACTTGTTACCAGAAACATCAGACCGGATAATGATTCTAATATTAGTGATAATCAAGCTTCCTATGCGACACTATGTTTCTATTTCATGAATATTATTGCAAATAATTTGATGAGTCAATAGTTTATAGCGGGGTTTCTCAAACTGTGATCCACGAGCTTCTTCGGAGCGTCCAAGGATCGCAATTGCAAATAAATTGGTCGCCATACTTCGGCGCCTCCAGGTCGCATATTTGTCTTATTTTTACCTTACGCTTAAATATTCTGGTAACCATCTATAAATTTCACCTTCTGATTTCTCGTTGTTCCACGAGGCGAGATAAAAGAGTGGGTGTTCCGAGACAAAAAGGTTTCAGAAAATAGTTTTACCTCGCTTTCGCCAGAGCATAACCCGACTCACCAAACTTTTTTTCCCCCCTGAACACCTACGCTGTTTATTTTATCTTGCCTCGCGGAACACCGAGAAATTAGGTAGAGAAAAATGTAAAATTGATAGATTGTTTCCTCAAATTGGAGGTGTAAAGTGCTGTAAATTGACAATTAAAAATCTAGGTTAACGATATTAAACGGTTGACAAAATTGTGATTTCCAGACTGACAAGATGCCTATCTGTCTGTTTAGATAGCAAGGCTTGTTTGTCGCCAGTTGGGAGATCTAATTTACTACCCAAGATCGCAGAGATACGGCCGGGATCGCCAATTTAGTCGCAATTTCGATCCTTGTTCCGCGGCACACTTCCGCGAAGAAGCTCCGTAACACAGATCGCTACAATAACTTGATTTCTCCTTGTTATGATTAGCTGCTGCTTGTGTACTTCTGTCTGTGCTTTCGCGCTCCGTAAAGTTGATTTGAAGCAGTTCGTATCGGAATTACTACCCTAGAGACCGAGGTACAAATCCAGGATTAGAACCCCTGATTGTTGGTTGCTTCCGAAGTATTCGTACCAAGATGGCGCACAACCTGAACACAGTATGTGTACCAGGTTAGGATTGTTCAGGTTGTGCGTCATCTTGGTACGAATATTTCTGGGGCGCCGATTGTTGTCTAAAGTCTTTCAAAGAGAAGTGTGAAAGTTTAAACCTGCGAAAAAAATGTTGAAAAGATTTTGCAAAAGTCTTCAACTTCGTAATAAAACGATGACTAGTCTTTGCTACTTCTGTGCCAATTTATGTTCTTGAATTATACAGCATGCATTTTTTTTTATAAGTTCAATATATACGTTTACAAATATATTCTCTTCTTGATGTGTTCATGAATTGGAGGGTACAAAGGTTAAAGGCAGTTTACAGGGGGAATCTTTCAATGAAGGCAATGACTTTTGCTTGAGCACCGCCGCGTATATCAGTCCTTACATGGGCCGGTCCATCGACTGGCTCTTGTTTGAGCACCGCCGCGTATATCAGTCCTAACATGGGCCCATCGAATGGCGGATCTCACAAAGAGGAAGAAACGAGCTTGAAATCGCACCCGTCATCTGGATGGTTACAAGACTCGCGAGGTTATCAATTTCGATAATACAGCCCCGCAATAACCATACATTCGACCGCACTTTATCCCCGCCGGTTTCTATACATATACGCAGAAAATCCGGTGCTCCCGACGTATGTGTACCAAGATGGCGAACAACCTGAACACAGTATGTGTACCAGGTTAAAATTCAGGTTGTGCGTCATCTTGGTACACATACTTTCAGAGTGCAGAAAATCCGACATTGTCAAAAGGGCTATCAATAATACAGACTGTTAAAACAAGTTTTTGTGTATTTTAAAATGCACATAAAAGAATTGAAATATATATTCGTCGCATAGGCTAGACCAGGGGTGTGTAACAGAGGGCCCGCGGGCCACAACCCATTTATTGTGGCCCTTGTAAACACTCAGATTGTTCCCCATTGCACATAAAATCCAAATCAGACAGTTTATGTTTGAAAAGGCGCACACGGGTAAGCGATAGCCTCTTTCTCTCATCCTTCCTTTCCCGCGGCTTCTGGTTATCTCTATAATCTTTTAATTCGATGTACACACAGAAAATTATTCTTCCCTGTGGACTAGCGAGATGTTTAAAGTCCGTGATATAGCCCAAAAATGTTTCATAGCCCTGGACTAGGTCGATAAGGCTTTATACATCCCGTCCATGTTATAATGACTATTTAATGACACATTCATATAAATCAGTCATATATGACCGTCTGCTTAGAAGAGCGGTAATAAGTGCCGGCAGATAACAGCTTTATCTGAGACATTCGACATCACGGTTTATTTCTGAATCAGTTTTCATCAGTCATTTTATCGCCTGCTATGTTGAGTATGGAGTCGAAATAAACCTTTATTGCTTAGTCATGCTAGACTGGCTGAATAATTGAAATAGTGAAACTACATCACAAGTCATAAATCTCAACACCAGCATTATGCTGATTTGCTCAGCCAACCGTGACTGACAGAACTACTATTATGAAACTAGCCACAAGCTTATTCTGTCAGTCTTCATGTTATTTATGATGTCAAGCATGACGGACAGAATAATTGCACTAATATAACATGAAACTACTATTTCTGTTGAGTCAAGCGTAAATGACAGAACAAATACTGTAGTAAACAGTGGCACAGATTCCTGGTAACATTCTGTCAATTTGTTCAGTCAAGCATTACGGACAGAATAAAATTCATTCTTGCCAGCCATCAACTTCTTTCAACTGCGCTAGAGAATCTGCCAAATACTCAAGAGATTCTGATATGATTTCCTTGTGAGATTCCTGGAATTAAGAATAG